GAGCTGTGGATATTCTTGCCCTTTTTCATGCATAAACAGCCGAATTTCATCCAAGCAGGCCACAAATTTCTCCAGGACTCATCCTCTGCTCAGCCACCGGACATTATTATACATAAATAAACAATCATACTGTGCCTGAACCTCCTCAAGAAGTACTTGAAACTGCCGACAATTCAGAACACGAGCCATGATGTAATTCACTATTTTTGCGACGTCTTTGAGGACATCGTCAAATTTTTTGTTGCTTTCCCTGGCACAAAGAGCTTCCTGGTGAATGATGCAATGGAACTGAATTACTTTATGTTTTGTTTCTTGAAGAAACAACTTTATGAAACCAGATGTTGCCCCCACCATAGAAGGTGCTCCATCACTTGTAATGGAAACCACCTTTTCTGGTCTTATGTCTTGTGATAAAAAAAACTTCCTTCACAGCATTGTAGATATCTACACCTTGTGTTCTTTCAGGCAAAGACATCAGTTTCAGCAGCTCTTCTCTCATGATGTCACCAACAGCATAACACAAAATTACTGCCAGCCTTGCATGGTTATTGATATCTGTGCTTTCGTCCAAGCACATGGAGTAACAGGCTACCTTTTGTAAGTCAGTGGTGAGCTAGTGACTAACATCACTTGCCATGCACTGGACTCTTATCTTTAACAGTATTTCTGCTCAGTGGTATCCCAGAGATGCGTTGAATAATGTTATCCTTGTTTGGGAAATCATAAAAAAGAGAGTAACTCCCAGACAACATGGCCGTTTTGATAATATCCCCATCAGAGAGGGGCTTACCATGTTTTGCTATGCACAGTGAAATTTTAAAACTAGCAACTGTCAAGATGATTTGTTCTGGAAAGATAGTTGGAAAAACTAAGGTGCTGGGAATGATAGCTCCTCAATTTCCCTTCAAGAAACTCTTTCCTTTAGTTATCACCAAGTTGGGCAACATTTTTGTGGTTGGTTTCAAAGTGCCATCTGACACTTGATGTGCGACACACAACACTTACGTTGCATAGAACACATAATGCTTTCCCACTGCGTTCAATCACTCCAAATGACTGTGTCCAGGCCTCTTGGAACGATCTTCCATTATCTGTTTTTGATTTTTTTGGCTGTAGTCATTTTTGGATGGGTGTACAAGACTTGGAGTCTACAAAAACACAAAATTTAAAAAAAATGAAGCAACCAATACAAATCTATCTCTAAATAACTAACACTATTAGTTAACACTAAAGAAATGGATATTCCCTGAATCAACAATCTAGGAGGGGGGGAATTAAACAATGAAAGCAGTGTCTTGGATTTTACAGGTTGTTGGAAAAGTACTCATTCATTTTACCAGATACTGAAACTAGCAGAGAAATCTGAAGCAGAACGCCTGTATTAGCAGATGCAACTGAAATAAAATCTGGACGAAGAATGGTCTTTCCTAATAAGCTGTAACTTCCTCACTTAACTTTGCAAACCCTGTGGGTCCCACGCCATTCCACATACCTGCAAGAAAGCAGCTGCAATCCAGGTACTCTAACAGGGCTTTTCCAGTCGCCTAGCAAGGTATCAAAAGCTTGATGTAAACTTGATGACCCCCCCCCCAAAAGGAAAAAAGTGATAAAGTACAGTAGTCCTCACCTTACAACAGTTCACTTAGTGACTGTTTGACACACCCATCCCTCGCTGCTGCCACGAGGCTGGGCAGCCACTGAGTGTGAATGCTGCTGCCTCGTTTGGGCTGCTGAGGCCAACGGCCAGCTGAGGCAGCTTCAGACACAAGGCCTCCCCCACCAACATTGCCACAGCCCCAAGAGGCTGGGCAGCCAGTGAGTGTGTGAATGCTGCCTCGTTGGGGCCTGCTGAGGCCAGTGGCCAGCTGAGGCAGCTTCAGACACCACCGCCGCCTTAAAGCAGCACGAGGCAAGGCACCCCCACCCCCATTAATGGCTGCCGCCACCTTCTTAAAGCAGCACAAGCCAAGGCAAGGCAACCCCCCACCGCCATTAACGGCCACCGCCTAAAAGCAGCATGAGGCAAGGCATCCCCCCCACTGCTGGCTGCCCTTACCGCTTCTTATGCAATCACACATGAGGCCAAGGTGAGGTGCCTTGCCCACACCCTCTGCGGCTATTACCGCTGCTTCTGCAATTGCATGAGGCGGAGGTGGCTCGCCCGCACCTCGTGCCCTCTGCGGCCATTACCGCTGCTTCTGAGATTGTACAAGGCTGAGGCAGGCCGAGGCAAGGTACCCCCACACACACTGCCAGCCACCCTTACCGCTCTGCTGCTGTTGCTCGCTCGCTCACAGTCCGCTCCGACTCGTCCTCACTCGCTAGCTGTCAGCAGCAAATGCTGCTCCCGCCGAAAGTTCCTCCTTTTATAGCCTCGCACCTATTCCCAGACTCCGCATGCGCTGAGAGCTGCGAGGAGAGGAGGCGGGAGCAGCTTGACCCAGCAATGTCGCGCATGCCAACAGACGGCTCTGCGTGCCACCTGTGGCAAGCGTGCCATAGGTTCGCCACCACGGTCCTAAGAGGTACACCTCGCTGTTTAGAAAAACCCTGTTCTGAATATTCAGATATCAAACTTCAATACAAGGCCCACAACTTACAGTCAATTGGGTCCAGAATTTCTGCTGCTAAGTGTGGAGGCTAAACAAGTCATGCCCAATTTTATAATATTTTTCACCATGATTGTTAAATGAATCGCTGCAGTTGTTAAGGGAATCATACAGGCATTAAGAGAATCCAGCTTCCCCCTTGACTTTGCTTGTCGGAATCTGGCTGGGAAGGTCACATATGGTGATCACATGGCCCCAGGATGCTGCAGCCATCATAAATACATGCTGGTTGCCAAGTGCCCAAATTTTGATCATGTGACAATGGGGAAGCCGCAATAGTTGTAAATGTGAGGACTGGTTTTAAGTCACTTTTTTCAGTGCTGTTTTAACTTTGAACGATTGCTAAATGGATGGCTGTAGGTCAAGGACTATCTATCCTGTAGTTCCAAAGTGCATGGGAAGACATTACTTTAACTTAGGACAGACATGAAGACCTCTGTCTAACCCCACCCTTGCTCCCTTCTAGAAGTGAGGAAGTTGTGCCCCCCCCAGATACAATTCCCAGAATCCCCCTCCATTGGCCCAGCTGCTGGAACGCCTAGGATCCGGAGCTCTGGAACCCTTCAACTTTTCCTTCCTGCAATCCAATCAGCCTTACCGAATCCTAGCAATAGCACTTGGACCAGGGGTGTTAAACTGCCAACTGGCAGGCCGGATGCGTCATGCCAAAACCGCTTCCACCCCATTGCTGGCAATGGAAAAAAAGGTCGTATGTCGCAACACGTCACGTGACGTTATGAATTTGACACCCGCGACTTAGACTTAGATACCACTTCACAATGTTTTACAGCCCTCTCTAAGCAGTTTGCAGAATCGGCATATTGCCCCCATCAATCTGGGTCCTCCCTTTACCAATCTCTGAAGGACGGAAGACTGAGTCAACCTTGAGCCTGTTAAGGAATGAACTGCCTTTCAGAATAAATTGTTTTATTTTTATTTATTAAATTTGTTTGCCACCCATCTCGCTGCAGTGCGACTCTTTCCATCTTTTCTAAAAGTTTTACTTTAGCATGTTGTTGTGTGAATGCAGGGCCATTCCTAATCTCATGCCTGCCAATCAAGATGTTTCAGCGGTAGACAGATCTGGCTTTGGGGTCTGGTCAAGATAAAACTGAACACGCATGTTTTAGGACGCTTCTGTATGGCCGAGGTTTTCCCAGCAGAAAGTCTCCTCCTGAATAGGACCCCACTTTGGGGCTTGCAATGCGTTACGTATACTTACTTAGGAGTAACTCCCACTTAAGTCCCTGAAACTTACACCTTGAGTAAAGAAGTCGTGGACATTCCGCTCAAGCAGAAGTCCAGTCCTCCGCACTTTCCCCTGAATTTCGCCCCAGCTTTCCCCCCAGATTTTACAGCTCTTGGCATCTGTGACCACCTCGCTCTTGTTTCTGTTTCCTTTCTCTTCCACAGAATAACTTTCGGTTTCCATTTCTCTGACAGGAAAGGCAGCAAGTTATTAAACAGCGTGCAGACGCCTCCGCTGCCGGCACTCTGCTGATTGGGCGGAGGAGGCGTCGAGGAGCCGCTTGGATCATTTCCTCTGGAGAAGCCCCGGAGCATCGCTGAATTGACTGCCTGAAGACCGGGAGTGGCGTGTAGGTATTGATGGGGACCAGCGTCCCTGGGTTTTTTTGGGGGGGGGGGGGGGGGAAGGTAAAGAGAAAAGGGGGCTAGAACGGTTCAAGAAAGCAGGGCAAGATCCGAGCCAGCCGATAGGATCCCATCTCCCCATTAGTTCAATCCGAGAATACGATCCTAGCCCTGGATCGCGCGACCGGAATAGTTTGGGGAGCATCGCTTCGGGCAGAAACTGGGTACAGGTCTTTATGGGTTCTTTTAATTTCTAGAAGGAAATCGTTAAAAAAAAAAAGCAAATAAAAAAAACCCCAACAATAAATAGCCTTGCTACAGCGAAGCGAAGAGGATCCGTATATAAGTAATTGCTGTGTCTCCGTTCGATGTTTCATTATTTGCTGGATCTGAAAAATCCAGTTTGAGAGAGGAGGGGTGGGATTGTAACGGACGAGAATCTCCTGCGCTGGGGCAGACTTTGGCCGGCTGGATCACGTGCCTAATCGCGAATGAATTGATTCCAGGTGGTGGGTCTTAAGTTTCGTTTTTGATGAATAAATGTTAGCGGGTTTAATGGCCTTAAAACCTAAAAGCTTGAAAGACAGTTTAGATTTCAGACAGTAATGGATTCCTCCTCTCAAATCGTTTCCAACTTTCCTAAAAATTGACTATTCCAGGTTTGCAGGGTGGCAGTGGATCAAGTTCTCTTGGATTCATCCTAGAATTAATTTGCACTCAGTTAAATCAATTGGTGTGATTACGTTACGCCTGTATTTCATTTTTATATGCTTTCTTCTTATTCCTGCAGGTTGAAGAATGTCTCAAAAGGAGAAAAAAAAGTAAGGATGTGTGTGTTTGTGTGTGATAAAGAGAAGGCAGAAGGATTATGGCTGGGGATTGTGAAAATGGCAATGCCACATACATGAGAGCAGGTGTAATGGTTGAAACATTGAACTACAGTAAAGTGTGTTTACATCTATGCACAGGTTGTGCATGTGTATGTGTGCGGAGGAATGTGAGATTATATTCCCATAAAGGAGATTTTGTGTGATGTACATGCACACCAGGTTCTAATCTGCCTCAGTTTAGTAGGTAAATTTGGGGCAGATATAATAATGTAATATTCAAAGCACTTTTTTTCAGAGTGTCTCCAGCTATAGTAGCTAATATTACCTTCCATCCAACTAAATATTATAATTTGGCAATATTTTTTGAGGGCCACTGGAGACCACGCCCAAGGCTTATGGGAAATCAGACTGAATTGTCCCACTGATCATAGGTCCATTTGATCAATTTATTTATCAAATTTAGAGACGGCCCATCTCACACTTAATCCCTTTGTTCTAGCCTTGGAATCGCCTTTGAGGACATAGGCTGAGAGAGAAATGGTGATGGGCTAAATGTGGCCAGAATATGATTTGTTGATGGTTTAATGTGTTGTATGAATACAACCATATAAACCAGAGCTGAGTATTAAATATATGTGGTAAACCTTGCCTGCTGTGCAATGAAGAAAACTGTTTATTGACAGAGCCAATAATTTAAAATTTAAATCTATGGGTAATTTTTGGACAAAGTTTTAATCATGAATTATCTTGGCTGGCTCATATAATTTTATGGGGTATTGTATTTGTACAGATAGTCTTCAACTTATGGACTACAATTGGGACCAGAATGTTTATTACTGTGCAAGGCAGTTGTTAAATGAGTCATACCCAATTTTATGACCTTTTTTTTTTTTGGCCACAGTTGTTAAGCAAATCACTGCAGTTGTTAAGTGATCATGCCTTCATTGAGCAAATCCCGCTTCCCCTTTTGACTTTGCTTATTGGAGGCTGGATGGGAAAGCTGCAAATAGCAATATTATGACCCTCGGATGCTGCAACCACTGTAAATACATGTTTGTTGCAAGTGCCTGAATTATTATCATATGGCAGTAGGGATCCTGTAAAGCGTGTAAGTGCAAGGATGGGTCATAACTCACTTTTTACAGTGAGGTTGTAACTTTGAATGATTGCTAAATGAATGGCTGTAAGTCAAGAACTGCCTGTATCATTCTGTCTTCTCATACTTCCCCAACAGAACTGACAGCAGTAAAAGAGGTTTAGAATTCTTGTTCCTTGTAACTTCTGCGAGGTCACAAACTCCTTTTCTGGTGTTAGATAGATGGAGTAGCTACACAATGTATCTGAATAGGCATTGCTGGAAGGTGGCTATTAGAAGGTCCTTATGCCCTGTACTGAAGTTTGTCTGTCTTTCAGGAAGGGCTTTCGGCAGAAACCGCCTCCCATCCTCAAGTATTTGCAGGGTATCCTTCGCAAATACCCAGATGGAGGGCAGATATTAAAGGTGGGTTTGTAACAGTTAATAAACACTGGATTTTTTTGTCTTTGGAAATATTGACACAGGAGTAGACTCTAGCTGCTTTGCTTCTTCATTCATTCATTCATTGATTCATCATCACATTTATATAGCTGCTTGTCTCATAAATGTAATTCAATGTATCTGCAAACTATTTTTGGTTTGTTTTGGTTAATTGGATGGTTAAATGCACCTATACGTGTATACGGATAAGTGCCATATTGTATTTTGTTGCAAGGAACATGGTTTCTATTTTTAGAATATTCCACAATTTATTTATCAACGATATCTAAGGAGCAGTTTTGTTTTCTACATGAAATAAAAGTAAGAAAAATGTCCTACATATATATCATGCAATACACATACTGTATAAAAAAATCACAGCACTTTTTATTTGTTTAAAAAAGATATATGAACATAGGTAATTAGTCAGTTTGATGGTAATTTAGCTAATCTGGATAATTTGGGATTTACTGCTGAGTAAACATATATAATTATCTATTTTAATCGATGTATTATTTCAACTTACCTTATAAAATTATTTGGAAACTATTGAGGGAACGATTAGAGTTGAAATATACATGAATATACATGAAAATATACATGAAAATGGGGCGGGCAGACTCCTGAAAATTATACATTCAGTTTACATTATACATTATACATTCACGTGTAATGTACGCATTATACATTCAGTTTACACCAGGAATTCTGGGATTTTAGAACTGTTGTGCTATTCATGCTAAAGGAAATGTTGACAACTACAGTTCCCACCCTCATGTAGATCAACAGTTTAGGGAAATCTGGTGTTTTGGGGATGGAAGCCATTTGTGTTAGATATATTTTCATATACCTATTTCATTTAGTCATATAATAATGTACAGGTAGACCCCACCTACTGCCTTCCTCATTCCTTAGAAGTACTGAACAATAACTTTACAACCAATGACCACTTTTACAATCTTTGCAGCATTTTCATTCACATGATCACCACTATAGTCAGTATGCATTATCCTGTGCCTGACCTGTTTTTCTCCTTCCCCCATTGAGAATTGGAGAGGAAGGGATTACAAGAGAGTAAGCAGACATACAAAGAATACATGGGGCTGTTTGTGTATCCCTGAGCACCATCATATTGCTTTTAGTGCATATTCACTATTGTGTGCCTGCTTACTCTCTTGTAATCCCTTCCTATCCAATGAATGTAAATACAAACATTAATTCTCTTGCTGTTACTCATCCCAGCACTAGATGAGCATTCCAACGAATAGGGAAGTGAGGAAAGGGAAAGCACAGTACGGTCCTGTGATTGCTTCACTTAGCAGAAAAGCTGCCGGTCCCAGTTATGTTTGCTAAAGAAGGATTGTCTGTACACGAATACATACACTTACATATCAACTGCACATTTAGTCTCTTGTGTTTATCACTGTGAGGAACTCTTGTGGATTGAAACTGAAGGAGATGGAGAGATGAGGACTAAAACCTTGGAAAGGAAGTCCCAGGAAATCCCAAGTCCCTTGGCAGAGAGTCAGGGAGGGGTATCTAGCACTTCCTCTCAGATGAGTTTTAAAGGATGGTGTGATGTATTCGTAAAGGCACAGCTTAATGTTTACTGGTTTCGGTGTCTACCTGAATCTGCCTCTGATTTTCTGCCTCTTCTCAAAGGAGCTGATCCAGAATGCAGATGACGCGGTTGCTGAAGAGGTGATTTTACTCTACGATGAACGGAGTTTTGGAACACAAAGTCTTTTCTCCGATGGACTGGCAAGCACCCAAGGTATTGAGCAGAACATGTGGAGGACTAAAAGCTGTTCACCTTCACCCAGAAATAATTCCAGCTGTCAATTGAGCGGGGGGGTCCTGATGGTGGAGATTTGTGTTGTGTGCCTTGGGATGCAAAATCCTGACACACAGGCCTATGATCCATACTGAACTAATAGAAGGAAAACTGGATATATTAATAGCACAAGGAGATTGTATTATTATGGGATTTAAGGAATGTTTTTCCATTTCTGTTACGTGTACATTGGACAATAGGGGCCCCCACACTTTGCAGGCAGCCGGGCCTGTTACCCCATTTAATTTGATGCTATCCTTGCTTCTTAGAAATAAAGAAATTACATTTTTAAAAGCCTCGTATTTTAGAGACAGTCCTCGACTAATTAGAGCCCAAATTGTCTATTGCTAAGTGAGAGAGTTGTTAAATGAGTTTTGCCCCATTTTACGGCTTTTCTTGCCACAACTGAATCACTGCAGTTGTTAAGCTAGTAACAAGTGAAGTGAATCTGGTCTCCCCATTGACTTTGCTTGTCAGAAGGTCGCAAGAAGTGATCACATGACCTGCACATCACATCATATGACACTGCAACCGTCATAAATATGAAACAGTTGCCAAGCACCTGAATTTTGATCCCGTGACCATGGGGATGCTGCAATGATTATAAGTGTGAAAAACAGTCATAGGTCACCTTTTTCAGTGCTGTTGTAACTTTGAAACAAAAGGTTGTAAGCCGAGGAATACCTGTATGAATTCTCACAAGAGAATGTGGAAAATGAAACTGAATTTTTGGGGTTATTTCTATCAGGTTCCTCATGGTCATCCTAATTTAAGATGTCTATGTGTACAGAAATCATCCCTCCATCCCCACATCATCCTTTGAGTTCGTCTTTATTGGACAAGTCTCTCTTTTTTGTTTTTCCAGAAGTCATTTGCCATTGATTCCTTAACTATCTGGCTGTACCAGTGTTATGTATAGCCTACATCCAAATAACTTGGGTGATGCTTAGATCAAACACACGTTCTGTTGTAAAATCAATTTCATTTTTTTCAATCTTCGTTTACCAATGGCTGTTCTTCAGTTGGCTGAAAGGCAGTTTTTTGCTTTGGGCCCCTCCACCTGTGGCCTTGGGGCCAATCAAGATGTTTCCATGTTGCTTTTTGCAGCCAAGCATGTTTTTATTTCCCAAATGCTGAGACATTAGTTCTGCGATTTGCATCACAGCAGCCCAAGGGAGTTTGGGGCATAGGTTGTTTTTCCATTAGCAAGAACTCTTTCTCCACTCTGTCCTCTTGTGGCTGGCTTCCTAAGTGGCCTTGCCAGTAAATCTTTTTAGAACACAGCCACGTGGCAGCAAGGAAAGAGCGTTTCCCCAGCGCAGGAGCTGGCAGAAAAGAATAATGATGTAAAGTGATGATGATATTTGCAACCCATATTCTGCCCATGCAGTGAATCCAAATAGGGGGTTCTGTCCTCAAATGCAGAAAGGGAAGGGTGGGGGGAATACTTCATTTGGTATCAGTTCCTGGCCACAGAAGACTGTTTCCAGGAAGCTGGTGAGAGGTCTGCCAGCAAGAATCATTCTTGGCTTACTTCTCATGCTGCTTTTGGTCAGTTTCCCATTCCCACGGTGTCATCACTTCCTGGGATCAGAGAAATGGCCACAAAAGAGCCATTCTCCCTTCTGGGGAGGAAAAAAAGGAGGAAGCAGGGGATCCTGGTGCCAGTTCTTCCAGCATCAAAAAGACCACCTCCTCACACCCAGTATAGAGATTGCTGTAATGCAGGGGTGGGGAACGATGGCCCTTTTTACTTATGGACTTCAATTCCCAGAATTCCTCAGCCAGCTATGCTATGCTGGCTCAGGAATTCTGGAAGTCAAAGTCCAAAAGTCATAAAGGGGCCATCGTTCCCCACCTCTGCTGTAATGGAATGCATGGGTGACCTTGGGAGAAGAGGAGAGAGCCTGCCTAAGAAACAATCGGATAAGAGGGGCAGGAGCCTTCAGTCGCTTTAAGAGTTGCAGGAAGAAACTGAGGAAGGACCTGGCTTCATGGATCAAGCAGTTAAAAGTGGCGGGTGGGAAGATTGTACTTTTCAGACTTCTGTTAGTGTAGCCCTACACTGAAGTAGATTAGAACGATTGGCATATGAGAATGACCTTGGGAGAGGGAAAGAAGAGATGTTGCCTAGGACATGATCGGATAAGAGAGGGTATAGTTCAGAGCTGCATAAGGGGTGGAGAAAGACTCAGCAGAGCCTCTCCCCTAAGGCTGCAAAAAAGACAGGAGATTTGTACTTTCAAAGTAGCAAGATTCTGTTAACGTACCTTTAAAATAAAGTAGGCTTAGCTCATCTGGTCATGTTTCCTGTCTGGCCCACTTGAGAACGTTGACAAGAAAGGGGTTTTTGGAGGCTAATTGTATCTCTGAGTTAACTAGTTGGGTCCACAATTTAGGTTTTGATGCAAGTAGTCTTCATTTAACATCCACTTTTTCAGCAACTGTTCAAATTTACAATGATGCTGAATGAGTGGTATTGAATGACCAGAAAAGATTGAGAAAAGGGGGAATGTGAGAAAGAAAGTCAAGATAACCATGCCTTGATGTTGTTTATTATAAGGTGGGACAGAGATAAACTTGGATAAACTTTCAAGAGTCTTACTCTAATCTACCTTACTATAATTATTTATTCCTAAAATCCCAACCCTGTCATTTTTTGATTTGTCCTCCTTGAAGGGCTGACAAGATACCACCAGGCTACAAAATTGTGTTCTTTCGTCATAATAATAATAATAATAATGATGATGATGATGATGATGATGATGATGATGATGATGATGATGATGATGATGATGATGATAAATTTGGAAGGGACCTTGGAGGTCATCTAGTCCAACCCCCTGCTCAGGCAGGAAACCCTATTGGTAAAGCCTGTTTACCGACAGGTCAAAGAAGAATTTTTGAAGGTCACAACCTCGTAAGTGGCGAAGACCTCCGTCCAACAAGGTGACCAATTAACAAGATTGACAGTCCTTCAAAGAGGAATCAAGATCCAACGAAGAGTCTTTGGTTAGTTTCCACCCGTTGCTTCTTGTCCTGCCTTCAGGCGCTTTGGAAAATAACTTGATTCCCTCTTCTTTGTGGCAGCCTCTGAGATATTGGAACACTGCTATCATGTCCCCCCTCGTCCTTCTCTTCGTTAAACTAGACATACCCAATTCTAGCAACCGTTCCTTGTATGTTTTAGCCTCCAGTCCCCTAATCATCTTTGTTGCTCTTCTCTGTACTCTTTCTAGAGTCTCAACATCTTTTTTACATCGTGGTGACCAAAACTGGATGCAGTATTCCAAGTGAGGCCTTACCAAGGCATTGTAAAGTGGTATTAATACTTCACGTGATCTTGATTCTATCCCTCTGTTAATGCAGCCTAGCACTGTGTTGGCTTTTTGGCCAACTTGTTGGCACACTGCTGGCTCATATTTAAATAATTGTCCACTAGGACTCCGAGATTCCTCTCACAGTTACTACTATTGAGGTACCCCCTATACTATACCTGTACATTTGGTTTTTCTTGCCTAAATGTAGAACCTTACTTTTTTCACCATTGAGTTTCATTTTGTTAGATAGCGCCCAGTGTTCAAGTCTGTCCAGATCCTCCTGTATCCTAAGCCTGTCTTCTGGAGTGTTGGCTATTCCTGCCAGCTTGGTATCATCTGCAAATCTGATGAGTTCCCCATCTATCCCCTCGTCCAGATCGTTGATGAAGATGTTGAAGAGCACTGGGCCCAGAACAGAGCCCTGGGGCACCCCACTACACACTTCCCTCCATGTAGATGCGGTTCCATTGAGGACCACACGCTGAGTACGGCCAGTCAATCAGCTATGGATCCATCTGGTGGTGATGCTGCCTAACCCGCATTTTTCTATCTTATTTCAGCTATGAGTGGGAATTTATAGACAGGAAGAATTATCTATATATGTATGCATGTATGTATGTTTGTATGTATGTATGTATGTAAACTTCTATGCTGTCCATCTTTTCTAGAAGCAACTCTAAGTGGCGTACAATCATAAAAATGATAAAACATAGAAACAATAAATATTAACACTCAAATTAATTTAAATTAATTTAAAATTGACAAGGTGGAAAGGAAAGGAGCAAGATGTGTATGGGAGGAGGTGGAGTTCTCTTTGTCCATTAACCATTTCCAGAATCAGCCCCCATCAGGGCCCAAGCCAGTTGGCAGAGCCAGGTCTTCAGGCCCTTCAGAAAGCCAAAAGCCCGGGGTAGATCTCACCTTGGGGAAGGACACAGTGTTCCATGGGACAGAATCCATGGCAGAAAAGGCTCTTCCTCTGGACCCCACCAGCCAGAATTCCTTGACCAACAGGGTCTGCAGCATGCTGCTCCTGTTGGGGTGGGTGGTTGGGTCAACCCCATTGGGGTGAGAGAGTTCCTCAGATAGCCTGCACCCATTCCATGCAGGGCTTTAAAGGTAAGAATCAGCACCTTGAATTGGACCCGGAATTAAACTGGCAACTAGTGCAGCTCAAGGAACAGAGGTACGACATGGGCCACTCTAGGGACCCCACATACTATCCGCGTGACTGCATTCTATGCCAGCTGTAGCTTCCAAATACTCTTCAAGGGTAGCCCCATGTAAAGCACATTGCAATAGTCAATGTTTTGTTGGCACTAGGAAGTATTCTCTTCAGAGATCAACTGCAACTTTTGCAAAATGGTCAAACATAGCATAGCCGGGAAGCATTGGTGTGTGCAGCAGTAATTAGAGGCAGGTTTTTTACTTCGGGAGCTGCTGTCGTTGAGGGGGTGGAGCCTTGACTGAATGACAGTTTTTGTTCTGCGATTGGTTGGAGAGAATACTGACTGGCCTATTGGAATTCTCTTCAGACTCCCAATATTTAGAGGTTGGTGGAAATAAAGAAGAGGAGTGCATGGGGTAAAGAGACTGGAAAGTGGCAAAAGTGGGCTGGGCTGGAATGGAATGGAATGGAATGGAATAGAATAGAATAGAATAGAATAGAATAGAATAGACTTTATTGTCACTTATCAGCAAACATTAAAATAAAATTTTGTTGCATTCAGCTCTCAAAGGATAACCACTTCCAATATACACTACATAAACATGACAAAAATATGCTTATACCCACATACACACACATATATGATACAGAGAAACAAAACAGTCTAGTTCAGATGTATACATATACATGGCGAGAAAAAAAAAGATGTCCTTTGCAGGTGGAATATTACAAGGGATAAACTCTCTTTTACGACCGTGTAGTCCCTCATGTTAAAAAAGGAATATATGTTAGTCCATGTTTTTCTCTCTTAGGACCTGCGCTTCTGGCTTACAATAATGGCATTTTCTCTGAGGATGACTGGGAGGGGATCAAAAGTCCCGGCATCAGTCATAAGGAAGATGATCCATCTACTGTTGGTAGATTTGGCTTAGGCTTCAATTCTGTCTACCATATTACTGGTGAGTAGTTCTGCACATCTTGATTTAGGAGAGAGCAAGTTTCAAAACCGACACACATTTCTGAAAACATTTCTTGGGCATAGTTTTTCCTTTTATTGCCACTGCCAAAATTCTGAAGTGTTTCGAGAAAATGGAGTTCTGTGCTTTGTATATATGAAATCCAGCAAGACACATCCCTGGTATTTTATATAAAGGAGGAGTTGCTTTTTTGTCAAAAGTATCCTAAAGTTTAGCTTCACACATTGCCTTAAGTTAAAACCAAACAAATCATATTGTGCCGCCTGATTTATCAACTATGGCTTATCATTTATTGATTTGTGCAAATCCAGCCAATTGTAGCGTACTGTGAATGTAATAACTGTGGTTTAGTGCAATAAGGTTTGTACAGGGCACTAAGCTTTAATGGGATTTGTCTGGTCTGATTTAGCCCGAAGGAATGACTGTTAGAACATAATGTGATATGTGAGCATCCAGCAACGTGAAGACACTCTGGAACAGTGTTGCTCAACCTTGACAATTATAAGGTCTGTGGATTTCAAGTCCCAGAATTCTGGGAGTTGAAGTCCACACATCGTAAAATTGCGAAGGTTGGGAAACATTGCTGTAGAGTGAATTTCAGCTCTACTGAGTGCATTTGCTGTTTGCTTAGCAACAATCCAATGCTGGTTGTCCTTTGCCATTCCCTGCCATTTTCAACTTTGTTTTACTCTGCAATCATTTGGCTGTTCTTGGGGTACATTGCCTGGTTATCTAGTACAGGGCTTTTCAATCTTTTCACAGATTGTATCACTTTTAGGACATGACAATATTTGAGTACCACCAGTGCTTAGCAAGGTGTCAAAAACTTGATGACTAAAAAAAAAGCTGGCTGGTCAGCCCGTCTTCCTCTCTCTCTCTCCTCTTCTTCCTTCCTGCCTTCTGAGCTCTCCTTCCATAGTGTAGTAAGAATGCGCCCCCCCCCCAGTCCGTTCCCTTAAAGACACAGGAATCCTTAAATCCTGTACCCTTAAAGACACAGGAATCAAGCGCAAAGCAAGAAAAGCTCACAATAGCCTCCCAGAATAAAGAAACACTAAACTCCATTTTTTTTCTTTCTTTAAGCTACCTCGGGCATGTCACAGTTTAAACAATGTAGCAATCAGAGCCTAAAAAACTCCAGCAATTGCGAAAAGTGGTAACCTTAAATTAAGCCTGTTTACCTACAAAGAAATCTTGCTAAAAGCCATAGACAGACTCAAGATAAGTGGGTAAAACTAATTACATTTGTTTAAAGGAATGAAACCTATGGAAGCCAACACTTTGGACTCATTGCTAGCCTTTGTGAAATGGACTAAAATAGTCCAATAACCAAAGCACACAAACCGAGCCTCTGAATTACAAAACGCTGTAAAAACTACATAAAAATCCTTATGGCAATCCATTCAAGCTGCCAGCTGACCAGGAACCCACTGGCTTCCGAAATAAGCCAACTTCCTTTCCGACATGCTCGTCTTCTGGCTTTTCATTTCATCAGCGCTGATTGCATTCTCCTGGCTGGAGAAAACAAACAAGGGGACCTTTTCTTCCAGCAACAGCTGCTGCTTCTTCCCTGTCTCTTTTTCCTCCCTGCCTGCTGAGCTCTTTCCACAGCTGCTTCTCTTCCCCTTCTCTTTCCCTGTTGTCTTTTTTTCCCCTTTCCCACGAAAACCACCTCCTTTTATATCCTCTCCTCTCCTTCCCCATTTTTCTTCAGTTCACCTCCAGCTCTGCACTGCTTCCAGAAGCGCCAATCAGCTGGAGCCAATCAGCTGGAGCCCTGCTTGCACTCCTGGGGCCTCTGCTGAGCCTAGACAGTCCCGCAGCTCCAGCTGACTCTCCCTGAGGCTTGGGTCACTTCAGCTCATTCCCCTCCCCCGCTACACTTGTCTAGGAGGGTCGCATATTATTTGCCACGTGCCAAAGTACCATTAGTGGTACGTGTACCACCAGTTGAAAAGCCCTGATTTAGTCTACAATATTAATATTTCCTGGTGGTCCAAGTATTAATCAGGTACAATACTGTTAAGATCCAAGATAAAATAAGGCAGTGGCTACTATTGACTAATATGGACTGAAATAAGAGAGGAGGAAAGTAAGTGAAGTAGGAGTGTTCGTCTCATGCTTGTGAAGCTAAATTTTCCTTCTCATCCTTCAGATTTTCCATCAATTCTCTCTGGTGAATTTTTGGGAGTGCTGGACACACAGCAAACAGCACTTGAGGAAGGAGGTCAGCTGTGGAGTATAGAGGAATGGGAGGAGGCATCTGATCAATTCCAACCATTCTGGGCAACACTGGACTCCCTTGGTAAACCCTGCCCAGCGGTCAAGGGCCACTTCCCTGGCACCCTCTTTCGCTTTCCTATTCGGCAGAGCCCCTCCAAGATCTCAGACAACATCTACAGTGCACAACGGGTGCAGGAACTGCTGCGCTCATTCTTAAATGATGCCCCCATTTGCTTGCTGTTTCTCAGGAACATCCAGAAAGTGACCCTGGGCATTATTGGGTCCGACGGTGCCATCTGTGAGCTGCTAAAGGCTGATGTCTCAACTCGTCCATATTGTGAGTCAAATGCTGTTCAAGACATGCAAAAAACAACCAAAGCACCTCTGAGCCAGGGTAGAAACAGAAGTATCTCAGAAATATTTGCTGATTACAATCTTGGCGCCACACTGGAGACCAATAGCTGCATCAAAACACTTGCTTTACAAGGTAGTGGGGTTGCTAAAGCCACCAGCTGTGAGTGGCTCATATTGTCAGCAGAAGCAAAAAAAAATGCTCTCCCGGGATTGTGGGACCTGGCTGAGAAGGTGAGATCCACACCAGCATTATCCTTGGCCTACTGTTTGCAGGACAGATGCACCGGCCGCCTTAGCTGTGTCTTGCCTCTCCCAGCCACTGAGGAAAACGTCACTGGATTGCCACTGCACATCAGTGCTCCCTTTCAACTCACTGATGACAGGAGGCATGTGCAGTGGTCTGAGGAGGGGTCCCAGGCACGAGGGGCTGAGGGCCGTTGGAACCACTTACTGATGGAGGAGGTACTGCCTGTTGCTTATTGCCAAACGGTGGTGCTTGCCTCCTCCTGCCCTGGTGACCCATATGGGGCATGGCCAAACCCAACTCATAGCCAACAACTCCGGTACAAGCCTCTAGTAACTGAAATATGCCAGAGGTTAAGGAACATGAAACTCTTGCTGAGGGTTGGAGAGGGGGACCCTCGCTTGCTCCATCCTTCTGAAGCCATCCTTTTGCCAAAGCCAGTCTTGGATAAGCCCGTAGGCCCAGTGCTGGAGAAGGCCCTCCTTTTGGCAGGATCACCACTGGCAGCAGCCCCTCCTCATGTGCGTCAAGCCTTGGTATTGGGTGCAAAAGATGGGACAGTAGTACAGGAGGCCACAGCCAGGTTTGTGAGAGGGGCTCTGCAACATGCTGCCAACATCTGGAATTGGCTCACAGAGTCTGAGAAAAAGTTGTTACTGGAATATTTGGTTGAAGATGGATGTTACCTGGAACTGAAGGATCTGCCCCTACTTCCAACAGCCAATGGGCACTACACCTGCTTTGGAGATGCTGGAGAGACCGTATTTGTTGAGAATCCTGACTTTCCCAGGTGAGCAGCCTCCCCCCATTCCCCCCCTCCAAAATAGTCTAATTCTGTCTTCTCCCTCCTTCAGTATACTGTACCTCCTGATTTGAGTCAGGCTTGAACATCTGTTAAGGTAGAAATTCAAAATGCTTTAACTATAAAGGGAAGCAGAACTTCACTGATTTGTTCCAGAACAGCTGAAGGTCAGTGTCAAGAGATGCATTTAGAGATGTCACACGCTAAATCTTGGACTGAACATACCTTTATTTCCTAAGACATCTTATGTTCTAGGCAAAGAAAATTAAATGGAAAGCTGCATCACTTTTTAGTCTGTATTTTGCCAGATAGACCGGGTACCATACTAAAATAGTAAGAATGGTTGTTGACTTGTAGAAAATGTTTGTTTGTTTCAAAAAAGATGGAAGAAATTATTCAGGGTAACAGACATCATCCAGGGAGATGGCAGCGAGAGTGTGAAGGATTAAGCTTGCAGTTTGGTAAATAAACCAGATTGCCTTAATATTTGATGGGCCTGTGTAGTATTTACAACCTTAAAATATATAGAGTAAGATCCATTTTATTGACCTTCTCGGTAGTTTGTAGTTTATTTATTAATCCTTTCTCTTGGTTTTGCAGAATTCTTTTGCCTGGTTTGGCCAACCAATTTCTTACCAAAGATCTAACTCCTGTGTTGCTGAACCATTTGCAAGAAATTGCCAAAAAAGGTAAGCTGTTATCTTTCCCTTATGTGAGCCGCTCAGGCAAGGGAGTGTAATGGGCTCTGAGAATAACCTTGAGGAACGGAAAGAAGAGCCACAACTAAAACAACAGTAGTGTTGTCTTGGGTTGTGGCTCTCCTTCATGTTCCTCAAAGTAATTGTTCCATCCCATTAGAGTGGCTGGAAGCAGCCTTATCCAGTTGACTGCAATTTCCACCACCTCTGTGGGATATTGGTTGCAGAGGATGGAGTTAATTGGATCTGCCTGAAGGACAATATGAGTGGGTCTTAGCATGTCCATGTTGACACATAGCAGGCAGCTGCTCTCTGAGAACAGACTGCCCTAGAAAAAGGACAGTGAGCTTTTCCACACTGCAATTGCTACACAGCATAGGATACACCTGACTTACTCGTGCAGTTAAAAGCAGGAAGTCATTCTCCTTTCTGGTTTTAATTTTTTTTATAAATATTTTATTAATTTTCTATTTTTACAGTCAAGTACTTAATAGATAACATGTTGACTGGGTCCATTGTTAATTCAGTGGTACATTTTTAACTTCTTCAAACTAGATTCAATTTTACACCATCCAATAGATCCTCTCTTCTTCTGGTAATAGACATTTTCCCACTAAGCAAATACAATTCTTGTTGTTAATAAATATACAGTTGAATATCAGCATCTTTATTACATTTTTCTAATAATATCAACAATATCAGTTTAAAATATTTTTTCTAACCAAAACAAATATTAATTGCATTTGCACTCAATATCCATTTATTCAGTCAGTATCCTATTTGCAGTTTTTTTCAATTTTAATTTCCCATCCATGTTCAAAGTATCTCAATCATTTATAATTTCAAAGCAAGTTATATTTGGGTAATCAAAAGCTTCCCTTATTCAAACTTCTTACCATTTTCTTATTTCCCTTTTCATGCCTAGATATGATATTCTGATTACAAATGTTATCTATCTATTTATAATAATACTTCTATTTCTAGCAATCTATTCCTAATCATATTCAAACATCTAATTGATAATATGATATCCCCTTAATAGGTCAAAGCTTCTGTTTTCTTCGGTCTTACTCTAGCTTTCTTTCTTTGCCAACTACCTTTCCAATTTAGTGCATTTGAATCATCAAATAATTCTTCCTCTATTTTTGTGTATATTGTTTGGAATAAGAAAAACAATTTAATTAAAGTATTTTTGGAAGAACTTACTAGCCCATTGATATTTATTAAACAGCCTCCCTCCTTCTCCAATTCCCCACCGTTCTGCTAATGGCTCTCCTTCCTTATCCTCAAGTATGCTCTGAAATCTTGGTTGGCAAAATGTATTTTCCATTTCCGATATTATCGTAATGTCTTCTAATTTTTCGTTTGCCTGGGTATGTCCGTTACTTTCTTCCTTTAGAACCTCCATATTTGGGTCACCTTCCTCTAGTTTTCCTTCTATTTTCTGGGTTGCTAGTTCCTTCTCTGTAGTTATTTTCTGAGTTTATAGATTTAAATTAGAAAATTGTTCTTTTATCTCCTTTGTGTTATTTTTAATCTCATCACGAGCTAAGGCAATTGTTTCTTGTATTGATTTCAACATGGAGAGAATTTCTTTCTATGATTCATCAATATTTTCTTGGTGGTATGTCAAACTGAGGCTTCTGGAGACAGATGTTAAGAGATCAACCCCGACTGCTCTTTAGAAGGACAGATCCCGAAGTTGAAACTCAAATACTTTGGCCACCTAATGAGAAGGAAGGACTCACTGGAGAAGGGCCTAATGCTGGGAAAGATTGAGGGCAATAGAAGAAGGGGACGACAGAGAATGAGGTGGCTTTATGGAGTCACTGAAGCAGTAGGCGTGAGCTTAAATGGACTCCAGAAGATGGTAGAGGACAGGAAGGGCTGGAGGAACGTTGTCCATGGGGTCGCGATGGGTCGGACACGACTTCGCAATTAACAACAACAAATAGAACATCCATTTTATTTTTTGTAAGTGGCTTTTATAGAGATCTGTTTAAGAATTTAGAAATTTTCAGTTAATTATCATTGGAGCTCCAGATTATCCAGCCAACTTGTCAGTCCATTCTTAAACCTCCCCTAAGCAAATATAAGTAAAATTCATTTTTTTTCTGTCCAGTGAAAAATATATCTTTCTGTCCATGGAGAAGAAAGAACAATTAAAGGTTGTTTATGAATCAAGATTTATAATCCAAAATGTTCCATCATATCAGGCAATAGTGTACATTTCTTCTACAGATAATTAGTTCCAGAATACAGTTATGAGAGTCAGTATTTGTATCCATAGTTCAGACAGGCCAATTTTAGAATAGTTTATCGTCTCTGCCACACAGATAAGCAGCCCCAAAGTCTTTTCCCTTTTCTCAGGTGCAATCTTCAAAAGTGAAATCTTCCAAGGACAGCCAGAGTCTTATCTAAGTCTGGGCTTCAAGCCAGGTTTCTTTTAGGTATAATAAGTTGTAGTGCCATAATTCACCACTAGATGTCATTGATGCCATTTTTCAGTTTTTTAAATCCAAAACTTATATTGCAAACTTTTCAGGTCTCTCTCTCTCTCTCTCTCTTTTTTTTTTTTTTTAAAGGTCTTAAAAGCACTTTTAGTCCCCAAATTTCATCCCTAACTAATTAATTCACCGCTTTTGAGCAGTTTTTTCAGGAAGTGGTCTTAAAATCATAAAGAGAGGATCAGGTCTCACCCAGTTTCATCCACGTTGCTGTAATGTTACTTCTTGTTGCTTGTTTCCTTCGGTTGTCAGCAGCTTCTGACTGGCTATGCGAACGTAGCCAGTCTTTCCCACACCAGTTTGGAGGGCTTCTTAGGATCAAACAGAAGGGCTGCCACCCTCCTGCAATCAGTGAGGGTCCCCTCCTTGCTCATCGCCTCTTCAGGGTGACTTTTGACCCTTTTTAAGGTCCCCAAAAGGGCAAAATTGAATGCGGAAGATGGAGCCCCGTCTTCCTGCGGCCGTTCTGCTGCGATGTCAAACCAGAAGTCCCTTTCTGGTTTTAATTTGTGGTTCTGTAAAGCAAAGGGTAGGAGGAGGATTCGTCTTCTCAGGATTTAGGATTTTCTTCCAATAGAAAACAAAGGGCAAATGCAACTTTCTCCCGAAAGAATTCAAAGACTCTTTCTGACACTTGTAGAGTGAGCTACACGTTTTGACTTCTGGCCACAAAAGTGCCTTCAGAGGACATTTGAGTATGTGGGACTGTCAGATCTGTTTTGGATCAGGCCTAGAGTGCATGTAATAGAGCTACTTGCTGCAAAGTCTGAAAAGTAACCTTTCCAACCAGAATCGTGGCTTGAACCTAAATCTCCTTGCTTCTAGACTAACATTCCAATAGCCTTTAGCACAGACCAAAAATACTTCTGTAACTATTTAGCTCCAACAGAGACGTCGCAAAGGTGCTTTTTCAAAAGGCAACTGAACTTTTTTTTCTCCTTGAGGAAGATATTTCGCTTCTCATCCAAGAAGCTTCATCAGTTCTGACTGGATGGTGGGAGGGGTGGAAGGATTAGTTCTGAAGAGAGAACTATCCAGTCAGAACTAACTCTAAGGTCAGAACTGGTCTTTCTATCCCCCCACCATCCAGTCAGAACCGATGAAGCTTCTTGGATGAAAAGCAAAACTTTTTCCTCAAAGAGAAAATGAAGTGTAGTTGCCTTTTGAAAAAGCACCTTTGAGATAACCATGACCTTAGATGACTGAGAATCTCCAAAGAGATTCCTCCAACAGAGATGCACAAACATTGGTACTTGATCCTTGTGTCTTTCCTGTCTCTCTAGGGTTATTCAAAAATCTGGTCTCCTTGAATCAAGCCATCATTGAGAAGAATCTTCCCAGAGCTCTCCCGAAAGGTTGGGTCAGCAGCAAATCTGTTCCTGTTATTTGGAGGCCCAGTGCGTATCCCAGCGAACCTCCCCTTGAGTGGATTTCTGCTTTCTGGACTTTCCTGACACACCGTGCTTCTTCCCTGGAACCCTTTGAGGGATGCCCGATAATACCACTGACGCCTCTGCACAATTCTCTCAATGGCATTCAGTTGGCTCAACTTTTGCCCCAACCCACCCTCATATTCCAAAGGCATAATGGGCAATGCTTGCCAGACGCAGTGGCTAAAATTTTGGAAGTGTTGGGCTGCACTGTGATCCAGAAGTGGGACTCCAGTTGGTCCCATCACCAACTAAAAGAATATGTTCTGGAACCCACACCTAGCAATGTCCTGCAAGTTTTTGTCCATCTGGGGGTAGCAAATGTAACAAACCACCTGACATTTTTTCCCACCTGCCAGATTGAAAGCTTGAGCGCTTTTCTCTCTACAGCTGTCTCATTCTCTCAAAAAGATATCGGAGTCCTCACTAAATTGCCACTCTTCTTCAAGATGCCTTCTCTTCTTCCACCTTCCAAGGCAGCCTTGGTATCAGCCCAGGATTATTTGGCTTTAGAAAAGACTTTGGTTCCACCAGTGCCTACAAATCTCTTGACTCCGGAGCCTGTGCTCTTGTGTCGCAATGAAGCTGAACGAAGCTTGCTCTTCAAAATCCGCAGAAAGCTTCTGGGGACGCCGGATCTGTGCTTGCTGTGTGTCCGAGCAATGAAGAAGGGGTCCTATGGAAATCGGGCTGAGGATGCCAAGCAATTCATGTTGTGGTTATTGCGCAATGGAGACACACTTTTTAGCCAGAGCCAAGAATTACAAGCTTTGTGCCATGATCTTCCATTTGTGGATTGCGGATCAACAGAATTGCTCCGTCCCTGTCATCTCTACGATCCAGAGAACCGCACATTGCTGGCTTTATTAAGACCGAGCCACTTTCCCAAAGGGCCCTTTCAGGAGCAAGCAGTGCTGCGAATCCTTCGTACGCTGGGTCTGAAATCAGATCTTAGTGCTGTCTCTCCAGCAGATGCAATAACTGCTGCAAGGGAAGTGGCTGTAAGTGAAACGGCAACTGCCAAGGCCAAATCCCAGGCCCTTATCCGGGTTTGCAATGAGAGTCCTCTACTGTCACGCTTATCTCCTGAGGTGCTGAAGCAGCTGAGGTCCTTGCCTTGGGTTCCTGCCATCAATTCCTCTAAGCTTGGGCCAGCTGGAGTCTTCCTAGCACCTGAATCAATTCGTTCAGTGAGGTATGCAGGTCTTGTAGGACAGGTCATGGGACTGACAGATGCTTTTTCGGCCCACGCTGCAGAAGAATTGGGCCTGGAACGCTTACCTCCTCCAGAAAAGGTGATGGAAAACTTAGCTGACCTGGTACAAACCTATTGCTCTAAAGAGACACCCCTGTTGACTGCAAAGTTGTGTAGCATCTATCAACACATGCAACAGCATCTCTTCGATTTCCAGTATCCACCCACATACACTTCAGTGTGGAATGGGAAGGGTTTCTCGTGGCCAACAGACGTGGTACTAACCTTTCCTAATGATTTGGACTTTGCACTCCTAATGCCACAAGTTCCTCCGGATTTCCAAGAGTACAGGCAGCTTTTTGCAAAATGGGGTGTCCAGCAGTCACCCAGCGAGGAAGATGTAGACCAGGCTCTTCATAAGCTGGCACAACAAATCAATGCCAGACCAAACGGGGGTACGCAGGCTGAACTACTCCTCTTCGTAGCTGCCTTGGACTGGCTTAGCAATCAAGGTTACCATGGGGAAGAGGAAATGCTTATACCGGTGCAGATCGTAGGTTTGGTTGGTTTTGCTCTTCGCCCTGCCAGTTCAGCACTGTATTGTGACATGGATCGTGCCCGTCTTGCTGATTTGGGTGGAGACCTACCCATTTTGGTGCATGAAGCAGTTTCTTCTGCCACAGCTGCTTTCTTTGGGGTGGAGATGCTGAGTACCAAGTTGTCAGGCTTAGAACTGTTTGAGGCTTGGGGGCCTTCAGAGCCCATCACTCTCCGGATCCGTAACATCCTTCGGGAGTACAGCCAGGATGCTGACGTGTTTCAGGAACTGCTGCAGAATGCTGAGGATGCCGGTGCTCAGACTTGCCGCTTCTTAATAGACCTCCGGCAGCATGACGCTACTAAAGGACTTCTGGATCCTGGCATGGCTACTTGCCAAGGGCCAGCCCTTTGGGCCCAGAATGATGCACTGTTTACTGAGGCAGATTTCTCCAACATTATCCAACTAGGTGCAGCCACCAAGGAGCACCAGGAGGACAAGATTGGTCGCTTTGGCTTAGGTTTCTGCACTGTCTACCATATGACTGATGTGCCTTTCCTTCTCAGTGGTCACACCGTCCTCATCTTTGATCCCAATATCACCCATCTCCAAAAACATATCCGTGGTTCAGCCCGACCGGGCATCCGTTTGAATTTGACCTCCACAGTCGCCGCTTCATTTCCAGAGCAATTTTGGCCTTTCAGAGGAATATTTGGATGTCGAATTGGAGAGAAATACCAAGGCACTCTGATCCGTTTGCCTTTCCGCACTGAACAGGAGGCCAAAGAATCTCAGATCTGCCCTGAGCCGTTTGGACCCAGCCGGATCAAAGGACTAGAAACTGGTTTCCAGGAGACGTCCCAGTACCTGCTGGTTTTCCTACATAATGTGCGGGAGGTATCACTCTCCTACCTTGCACAGGGTTCCAGTTTTCCAGATGTTGTGCAGCCACTGGCGACAGTAAGCCGAGAAGTACTGAATGAGATCGGCTTTCCCCTTATACGATTGAGAACAACTTGGCAATCAGCTGTGACTATCCACCATTTTCTGCTCCATGCATGTTCAGCTGATGGAGAAGCTGAGGAACTGTTCAGAAAGGGAAGAAAGGGAGGTATCCATTTCTTGCCTCCTTTTGCTAGGGTAGCCTTACCACTCCGCCCTAGTACCACCGTTGGAAGATGGCTCCCGGATATACATGGTTTTAAAGGCCGTGTCTTCTGTTTCTTACCTCTTCCCATTGAATCGGGTCTCCCACTGCATCTCACAGCTCCCTTCGCCGTGCTTAGTAATCGTAAAGGACTCTGGGATACCACAGAAAAGGGCCAGTGGAATATAGCACTGCTACGAGATTCAGTGACAGCTGCATGGCTTGGGGCACTAACTCAGTTCCGAGACATGTACAAACAAGAACTGCTGGAGGACTACAAGTATTATGATTTTTGGCCTGATATATACAGTACCAAGTATCCTTTCACTGAAGCAGCCAAAGCCTTCTATCAAGCACTAATCGATGGAGTAAACGGGGAGCAGCCAGTTCTCTTCTCTGATGGACAAAAATGGCGCCCACTTAATCATGCTTGCATTTTGGATGATGATATCATTTGCAAGAGGCAACTGAGTTCTATAGCAGCGAGAGCCTTCTCGTTACTCTTACCAGAACCACAGATTGCAGTTTCTCTTCCAGAGAAGGTTAAATTGAGCTTCAAAACCTGGACCCCGAGAAACAGCTCAGTGCTAAACACTTATAATTGGGCACGGTTCCTTCAGGAGCTTGCTTTACCCAATCTTGCTAAGCTTGCGGTGCCTGATCGTAATGCCCTGATTCTTCGTGCCCTAGATATGAATGATGCCGGGGTGAATGAGTGCCTGAAATCCCTGCCTTGCATTCCTGCTACTCCAGATGAAACGCTGAAAACCATTAAAGAACTTGTACACCCAGAGGGCCGTGTCGCACCTCTCTACTGTCCTGAAGATGGCTGCTTTCCTATGGTTGAAGAGTTTCTGAAGCCGGAGAGGCTTTTGCGCTTGGAACATCTTGGCATGACCAAAGATTGGGTGGCAATGGAAGAACTGATAAGCCGAGCCCGAACTGTGGAAGCTTTGTGGCATCAGAACCCCGACAAAGCATGCCAGAGAGTCTGCTGTATCTTGGGTCTCCTTGATAGCCATCTCCAGGAAAGTTCCAGAAATACGACCCAGGTTTTGTTTAGGGATATTCCCTTTTTACCGGCAGTGCTTCCTGGGAATATGCATAAAATCTGCTGCCCCAGTGAGATTTACTACCACAAGCTGAATTCCTTGGTACATTTGATTGAACCAATCCTGGACAAGGAAGCCCTTGGGGGAAACTCCAAGCTCTCTGAGGAGATAATGGAATTCCTAGGAGTGAAATGCAAACCATCCGTAACTACAGTGCTAAAGCAACTGGAGATAGCGTCCTTTTGTTCCAATGCTCTCTCCAAAAAAATGTTGGCTAAGATAGCCCAAGATTGCTATGCTTTTCTCAATGATGTAGTCCGGAACAAGGAAAGTAGGGTAGAGATAGCGCAAAAAGCACAGATGTTCCCCTTCATCCTGGTCAGTGTTGGCTTTGTGCCAGTATGTAAAGTGTCTCACAATCTGGCTTTTGACGCTATTCCATATCTCTTCAAATTGCCTGAGGAGTACTGGCAACAAAAGGATCTGTGGAAGTGTATCGGTCTACGTGACGTATTTACCTTGGATGATTATGCTTCTGTCCTGGAAGCCCTGGCTGAGGATACAGCTGGACGGCCACTTTCTGTAGAAAAACTAGAAATTGTACTTAGGTTGATCACTGCAGGACTTGCTGGAGTTTTGCCAGAAAATCAACAACTAGATTCTTATTTGTCCCAGAAAATGTTTTTCCCAGACCAGGACAAAGTCCTACGACAATTGCCTAAGCTGCTTTTTGATGATACTCCATGGCTCCCACGTGAGAGTGGAATACCGTTTTGCCATAGTATGATTCCACGAGAAATTGCTGTGCGCTGCAGCATATCGACCAAAAAGCACCGTATACTGTCCAAGCAACGGATTCAGAAACTTTCTCTTTGGGGCACAGATTTTGGAGCTAAGGAGGACTCGTGTACCCGCCTGTCTAACATCCTTCAGGAATATCCCTCTTCACAGGATGTGCTGAAAGAGCTGCTGCAGAATGCTGACGATGCTGGTGCGAGTGTCATCCATTTCCTTTGGGATCGCCGCCAGCATCCAACAGAGCGTGTTTTCAGTGATGAATGGAAGTCTCTTCAAGGACCAGCCCTCTGCATCTATAACAACCAGACCTTCCAAATGAGCGATATTGAGGGGATCCAGCGCTTAGGCCATGGTGGCAAAAGAGGAAGGCGGGATGCTACAGGAAAATACGGTCTGGGATTCAACACTGTTTACCATTTGACAGATTGCCCTGCATTTGTCACAGGGGATAGAACACTGTGTGTCTTTGACCCCACATTGCGTTATCTCCCAGAGTCTGATGAGATCTCACCTGGCGCAAAGTACAACCTCACAAAAGATTTCAGAGAGGCCTTTTTGAATGTTTATGACACCTTTTTGCCTGATGTGTTTGAATTGGAACAGGGCACACTTTTCCGGTTGCCCCTGCGTACTCCTGCAGGGGAGAACCCCTCTCCTATTTGTCAGAAATCTGTGTCTGAGATAGATATGGAGAATATGTTGGAAGCTCTTAAAGAAGATGCAGAATGCCTCATGATGTTCCTCAATCACATTCGCACTGTAATTTTCTCTGTTATGGGTGAGGAAGACAGGAAACCCAAAGAGTTGTTGCGGGTTGAAACTGAAGGAGGGGAGCCTGGAAGGCTGGAGTACCAGAAACATCTACAGCAGGCAGCTGCAGCAGGAGGCCTGGAGATGAGCAAACCAGTAACCGTCTTCTACAAAATGAAGGTCAGCACTAATCTCTTGCGTGATCCCAGCATCTGGTGGGTTGGAAGGCAAATTGGAATGGACAGCACAGAGACCATAGAGGGCATGCTACTGCCTTATGGTGGTGTGGCTGTTTGTCTTAATAGACAAGTGTGTGGGAAGGCTTTCTGCACATTGCCCCTGCCAGGAAGGACAGGCCTTCCCATCCATGTCAATGGGAACTTTGATGTGGATTCAGCTCGGCGTGACTTGCGGAAGTATAGCGGTGAAGGGGATGTCAATTCAATCTGGAATAGGTTACTCATGCAATATCTGCTGGCCCCTTTATATGGCCAGTTACTTAAAAACCTGTGCCAGACACTGGGGAGGGAACCACTGAAATTCCATACTCTGCAGAAATGCCATGATCAATTTGCTTGCAAGTATTTGCAATATTTCCCAATTGTGACCAAAGATGTATCCCCTGTTTGGCAGCAGCTGGTAACCCATCTGTATAAACTGATGCATAAAGACCAGCTCCCATTGTTGCCAGTTTATCAGAAAAATGTTAATTACAAAAATGCCTGTAGAATTGAAACAATAAGTGTGTGTTGGAGTGCACCCAAAGAAGAGCATTCCACCAGAGGCCCCTATTTTCTGAAGAATACAATAGAGGATAAAATTCTTGAGCGCACTCTTCAGGAGCTGGGTATGAGCTTGGTCCCTGCCTTTGAACAACTACAAGAGATACATGAGCAATTTGTCATGGCGGAAATGGATGTACTGACTCTCGATTCTCCTTCCCTCTGTCAGTTTTTGAAAAGTCTGCTCAACTTCTTACCATGCTCACTAAATCAAACTCCTGTAAAGAATCGTTCCAATTGCTTTGCTCTCCTAACCTTCTCTCTCAGTGGACTGTGTTCTGATGATGTGAATTGCGTGGAAGGACTTCCATTACTGTTGACCAATGATAATGTGCTGAGATATTTCAGCCAACAAGAACCTGTTTATCAGAAGAGCAGTGCTTCTGACCTTTTCCCACATCGTCAGCATTGTTTTTCTGCCTTTGCAGATTACAATCTAAATCAGCTTCTATTAGAAATGGAATTCCTGAAGAAGTTTACTTTAGATGAATCTGTGGCTTACATACAAGAGATGTTGACACTGGATAGCTGGGGCAACGATAGCAAACGCCGGAAGAGCTGGTTAGGGGAAGTGTGGAAGTTCTTTGAAAGTCATATCTGCGTGACACAGAATCAGGAAAAAAGGAACGAGCTATTTGCAAAGCTCATTTCCCTCTTCAAAGGATGCACTCTGCTCCCTGTCTATGGTTCCAGTATGTTGATTCCTCTTGAATCCCTTGGTACGTTGATACCTAATAACTTAAGCCCAGTTTGTGAAATTCTTGATAAGCTGGGCTTTGCCAAATTAGATAAGTCCCTGTTGCCTCCAGAGTTGACTGCATACTGCATCAATCCAGAGCTGCTGAAGATCGAAGACCCTATAGTAGTGCTGGAGCAACTGTCTACCCACAGTAGCCTATGCTGGAATAAACTCGATCCATTTGATTATGATTTATTCTTGAGGTTTCTCTGTGAGGATCTGGAAAAGTTAAATAATCAAGCATTATTAGCAAAACTGAAAGCTTTGCCTGTCTTTGAGACATATCAAGAAAAACATGTATCACTAGTTTCATATGATAAGGTCTATCGTCTGGTATCCAAAAATCCAAAGCTCTGTGAGAACTTTTTGGAACTTTATGAAATGGATGCAAGGACTGTTTTACTCAAGGACACCTATTGGAATCAAAGGTTGAGCAAGTGCTTTGGTTTTGGAGAAATGAATGATTTGCAACAGTTTATGCTACTTTTACCTCGGATACCCAGTCTTCCTGAGGCTAAAGTACTGGAAGCCTTGAAGTTACTCTTCAACATCATGTCACACTATGATGAAGAGTATGAGACCCAGAAAGCAGTTGTGGTGTCAACATTCAAGTCCTTTGCCTTCATTCGGGATGAGAAGAATGTGCTGCGTCTTGTATCATACTTCTATCAGGACAATACAATTTTCCAAGAGTTGGGATTGAGCTCTCGATTTGTACCAGAGAAATTCTATGGTTCAATGCGTCCAATCAAAAAGTGGGAAGTGAACATGTTTTTATTAGATGTGGGTTTGCAGAAGGTGATTTCTGAGGAAGATTTTTTGAAATGTGCTACCCAGGTTGAACGAGAGGCATTCAGCAGCGGTTCCACTTCTGAAAATGTCCGAGGAAAAAGTAAAGCACTCTTGGAATATCTGTTTTCCAGAGCAAAAGATGAACTGTCTAATTCCTTCTGGGCAAAATTGTCCAAGATCCGTTTCCTTGTACCACGTCTCCTCCCTGATAAACTGTGTAGCCTTCATTTGCCATATGTCCCTTGCAGAGCTCCAGTGGCACCCCGAGGTTCTTTGTACTGTTCAAAAAATGTTGCTCTCTTTTGGACTTCAGCAGTTGCTTTCTCTTTTAATGACTATGTTGGAGACGAAGGTAGGGATGTTTTAAAAAAACTTGGAGTGATATGCACAGTACCTACTGAAGTGGTGTTGGAAAATTTGAGCAATGTCTGTCAAGTAACCTGTGATACCCTAGAAAATAAGAAAACTCGGGCAGAAGTTCTAAAATGCACGTACAGATTCCTGTCAGAACAGGAAGAAATAGATGTGAATTCCCTTAAAGGCCTTCCTGTGATACTGACAGATGATAATGAAGTAGCTGAGGCAGAAAATGTGGTGGTCCATTTGCAGCACTCAAATGACTTTCGGCCATACCTGTACATGCTGCCATCCAAGTTAGGGGTATATATAGATGTCTTTGAAAAGTTCGGAGTGCAGACTGAGCCAACCATCTATCATTATGCCAGTGTTCTGGCCAGGATCCAAGAAGAGACTACAGAACGGATGAAACTGCAGGCCAATCTTACTAAAGCAGTGCTCAGGGCCACTCAGTTTCTCTTCCATCTGTTGGAAGAAACAAAGGAGTCAGTGGATTTCTCAAAGCTGCAAGAACTTTATCTCCCTTGCATTGATGGGAAGCTATATCCATCAAACACTTTAGTATTTAGTTTCTACCAATCTGGACAAGAACCCCTTGCTTTGAAAAATACACTTCGCTTTCTGGTTGATCTCTCTGAATGTTCCATATCAGTGGACAAGTATAAGCAGTGGAAACTTCTGCGCTTGCTACCTGAAAATCTGCGCCCCAAGTATTTCAATAATATTGTTGAAGAACAACTAGAGGAGTCCTCTCTGAAACTGTGCATGTATCGAGAATATTGTGAGTTTCAGAACAGTCTCAAAGAACTTCTGGTTTCTCTTGATTTCCAGAATGCGCTGATTGCGCTACTGAAATGGCAGAGTAAAACAGAGGAGATAGAAGACATAAATGAGGGACTCTTTTCTCCAGATCAGCTAGAAGTGGTGTGCTGTGAAAAGCTCTGCATTGTAATGGTCTACAAGTTGCAACTTTTAGAGGAAACTGAATGTGTCAAGACAGTGCATGTCGCAACAATGCCAGATGGCAAGACAAAGATTTACCTTACTCACCAGGAAAGCATGAGTCGGCAAGAGGGAATACATATTTTCTCAACTCTAGCCATTGAAGTTAATAAGCTTTTGGGAGAAAGACTTCAGCCAGAAGCTATGGGGATCCTCATGGAGATTCTAGCTTGCGAAAGACCTAAAGATACTGCTGGAGTCCTAGAGAAACGCAGAGTGCCCCTGTATCAGCAGGGAAACCTAAATGCTTATGACCTTCCTCCTCCAGGAGAAGACATCCCTGAGGAATGGTATGACAGTCTGGATATGAGCATTTTGCATACCTTTATGAAAGGAGATTATGTGGGCTATCTGGATTCTTCCCAGCCCAAGGAGCATTACCTGTATGCTGTTGTCCTTGAAGTACTTGAGTCACAGAAGAATGGTGCTGGTCAAATACACACATATCGTATTGACTTGGGAGGAGGTCGGCAAGAAGAAGTGACTGCTTATGACTTGTACCATTTCAAGAGAAATAAGCCAGTCTCCGATTCAAATAAAATGGTAGTGCTGGCCGCAGTTTCCGCTGATGCTGCCCAAGTGGTAAGACCAGATATTAATGAGTATTGGCATCACCGGCCACTGAGCGAGGTGAAGAAAGAGATAGATGCGTGCCTAGATCAAGTTTGGAGACTTTCAGAAGAGGAAAAGAAGAAAGCCCTTAGAAGATTGTATCTGTGTTACCACCCAGATAAAAATCTTGGCCAGGAAGATTCTGCTAATGAACTCTTCAAGTATCTTAAAGAAAAGATCAAGGAGATGGAGAAGGGAATGAGGTCAAATGGCTCCTGTGGAGGATCCAAAAGTAGCAATTCCTATCACAGAAACTTCTCAGACTGTTGGAGTGAATGGGATCGGCAAGCTCATCAGCATCAACAGAGGCACTATGAATTTACCAGAGGTGGTGGTGGAGGAGGAGGAGGAGGCAGTTACAATTTCTGGTCATACCATCGATGTGGACCAAACTCTTCAAGATCACAACCAAATCACTGTTTCCTGGAAGCAAAGCGTTGGCTCCGGCAAGCAGAATGTGATCTGAAGGTAGCAGAAAGCATTGCTGGAAATGGCAGCACTGAATGGCTGCTGTACATGACTTTCCGGGCTATGGAGAAGACTCTGACAGCAGTTGAGTACAACCAGGGAGGTGGCTTTGAGAGGAATCTCTCTCTTGCAAAGCTGGCTGATAAGGCAGCATCGTATGGATGTGAGCTGGCTAAACTTCCTGAGCAGATAGATGTGCTCAGGGAACACGGCGTGGATGACAAGATAACACAGTATCCCAAATATCACACTTTACCCACCATTCCTAATGAGGCCTTTTCTGCCTGCAAAGAGCAGGATGTGCTATTGTCAGCTTGGGAGATCTTAAACGTGGTAAAGAGATGGCTTGGCCTCTAAACAACCTCCCCCCCTGTAAATATTAGAAGCTGGGAGATATATAATGCAGCAGTACTTGTAAAGACATCTTGCAGATAGATGCTTTAAAATGAGAAAAGTTGTTCACTTGAAAAAAAGTAGCCTCACAGAACCTGTATTATTTGTAGATGATAAAATAATAGGGTGCCTATGAAAACAGTATGCATATTCTTTAATATGGACATTCCATTTTTTTGTCTTTTGATAAGTTGCTTTAATATAGTTGGCTTTCTTAAATAACCCGAATACCCAATAACTACTGTAGAAGAAATAGTGTTTTTCCCAATGGATGTGCTTACTAAAATTGTTGTGACTAAATGAGTATGTGCCATCAAGTTGGTGTTGATTCTTCATGTGAAAATAAAAATTTTCCCATGATCTGTCCCTTATCTGGTCCTTCAGGTTTTTCAGTGGCGCACCACTGCCACTGGTTGCTGCTGATTGTTCAATGGTTATAAGTTGAGGACTCGCTATACTGTAAAGTCTTATATTTTGGTTCTCTATTTACAGGGAATGTGTGTACTGTACATATTTTTATATGCATACAGAAAAGTCGTCTGTAGTTTATTGCACATCTTGACTTGGCTACAGACACAGTGTAACATTTTTATTTCAGGATCAGAATCACATACTCTTGCATGAGACTGTCAACCATTTTGGATCAACTAACAGTGAAAAGGTGTTTGGCCCAATTGGAGATTACTCTAATTTTGCAATTGGGACTTTGAGAGGTGAATAAAAATACAGAATCCAGGTTTCTGATTTCTAGTGAAGATATATAGTTAACTAGTGCAGTACAATGAAGATTGGTGTTAAGGAATCCTAGATTGGACTATAACCAATTCCACATTGTTAGAATAAAACAGGCTACTTAGTGAAAGTCACAATAAATAGATTACAGCCGTCCAAAGTTACTTTGAGGTAAGATGGGTGGCCTATAAAATTCATAAATAAATAAAAAACAAATCTGCAGGGCTGTATATTGGAGCTGTTATCCTGCACTGATAATAGAGGTTGCCTGAGTTTTAGCCTAGATCACAGGTCGGCAGCCTGCGGCTCCGGAGCCGCATGTGGTTCTTTGAGCCTTCCCATGCGGCTCCTAGCCTCCTCTGCCATTTGCAGACAGAGGCAGAGAGAGGCACTTGCGCTTCCTCTCTCCCTCTCTCTCTCTCTCTCTCTCTCTCTCTCTCTCTCTGTGTGTGTATGTAAAAAAGTGGATTCATGGTGGATTCATGAAAAGCGTATTAGGCGGGGCTCCTCCCTTTGCTGCATCTCAGCAGGAAGCAGAAAACGGAGAGAGCTAGCTAGCCCAGCTATGCTGACTCAGGAATTCTGGGAGTTGAAGTCCATCAGTCATAAAAAAGCCAAGGTTTGCCTACCCTGAGTTTGTTGGAGAACAGCTTGAAGCCAGCTTGCCAGGTGAGCAGAACATCAAAGAGGGGGGAAAGGGAGGGAGAGGGAGAGGACAGAGAGAGACTCTTTTGACATCTAAAATGAAGATAACACTGCATATATCCTTTTTTATCTATCTATCCATACACACACACACACACACACACACACACATATATATCAATAATAACGTTAAAAATAAAAGTATGATTCCTGGGTATATTCATCTTCTGAAAAACCAATAAAACATGAGCACCAGGAATATTATAAACTAAAAAAGTTTAATACAATCACCAAGCTTTCATCGGAAGCGTGAGTGGCATCCGGATGCCACTCACGCGAGGGGAGAGGGGAGGATGGAGTGGGCAGAGCAAGAAGAAGCGCCCGACTCACGATCTAGTAGGGCGGGAAGAGTCAGCCGGAGCTCCAACGAGACGCATAGTGAAAGAGGGGGAGGAGAGGGAAGAACAAGCAGATCGGGTTTGAAAACTCTAGAGGACAGTGAGGAGAGCACGGAGACAAGGATCACCCAAAAAAGGGGGGAGAGGATCCAACGCAGCCCAGGAATTGGTGGCGAGGAGAAGAGTGGTGCTACATGTATAGGAAGGAGAAACGGGAAAGGGTTGGACACTGACGTCAAAGATACATCCAGAATGGGACCAATGACGAGGTCCAGGAGCCGGATGCTAGCGCTGGTTAATTCTATATAAGCTGTTCCCATTATCTAGCCTTAAACCCTGACGATGTCGGAAGTCTCCGATGAAAGCTCGGTATTTATTAAATTTTTTCCAGTTTGGATTTTCCTTATGCGAATCCTGGGCATATTTGTTCAATAACACAGCCTTCGATCTCCAGGAGAGATATAAACCAGTTGTTTATTGCTAAAAAGATGTTTAAAAACAATAAAAAGATATTTAAAAACAATAAAAACAACCAGAACCGGGGAAGGTGGCTAGGCAAAGATAGGATTTGGAGGGAATAGGGACGATAGGGATGGATGGTGAAATATTGGAACCACGGATGGATGGATGGATGGATGGATGGATGGGGTGAAAAGGAGGGAGGAAGTGAGCATGGGGAATGGTCAATGTTGCTGGATCCAGGCGCGCAGTCTACGGTGGCAACTGAGGGAGGGCAAGTGAGGGGCACACCTCCGACGGCAACGTCAGGAAGGATAGGGGCAACGAGGAGAAGGGATGAATCTGGGGGTGGGTTAGCGAGCAGACCAGCTGACCATGGACAGGTGGAGGGAAATCGGAGAAAAAAAGACTGACAGGAATGGATGATGGAAGGCAGAAACAGCATGTAGACCAACGGGCTAGAAAAGAAGGGAGCACTGATGGCAAGCCTTTTGGAACACTGGATCTGAATGTGCAGCCTGGAATGAGCAGGAGGGAGCGGTTAGAGAGCATACCGGCAGCAATGGTGCTGGGAGGGAGGAGATTGACAAGGATGAGAGAGGGGAAAGGTGTGGAATTAGAGTGCAAAAAAGAGAAGGCAGGACAACCAAGGCAATTACAGTCTATTTATTCTTCTTCTAAGAAGAATAAATGCACGCATTGAAGAACACAAGAACTCAGTCAGAAAAGAGGAACCAACTTCTTCCCTGGTCCAACACCTTAAAGCCACAGGACATAAAATTGACTTTAAAAAGACCAGAACTATTGCCAAAACTGAACACTTTAACAACAGAATAATCAGAGAAGCCATCGAGATAGAAAAACGCCCACACAGCATGA